GTTGGGATGCTTTACATTCACTATGGTATCTAGTTTAGTAAAGTTTAGCTAGATTTGTCTAATCTAGCTGTGCAAACCAGCTCAGAACAGACTTCTGTTCAAGGGACATCCACTAGATGAAATAGGAACAAGTCAATTTTCACCAATTTCACCAATTTTCACCAAAATTATTCAAAATTTCTCATTTTGTGTCCCTTTACAAATTATAACTTGGTAGCAACTTTGGAGGAGCTCTGAGTGCAGCTCCACATAAAAAGGAAGATACCATTCATTTTGAGGAACACTAAGTCTGCAGAAATGTATATTAAATAAATGAGTTTTATTCAATTCTTCCATAGCTATAGCAACTATTAAGGAAAAAAAATCAACTTTGGGCAATGATACTGAAAGCCATGTTAAAAGCATATAATTTTCCTATGCCAGGAATGTGTACCACGAAATACAAGGAGAACAAATACCAGGATTATGGGGGTTAGGGAAACTAAACAAATAGACTGCTTTGATGAGTCAGACTAAAGGGTCAAAAATGATGTCCTGTTCAATTTTCAGAATATGTACAGGTAAAACAGATTTTTCTATTATCTAGAAAAATATTACCCAGGTTTGAACTACATTATATTATGCTATAAAATTTAAACTTGAGATAGGCTCACTCCTTCTAGTCATCAAACTATCAATTTATTTCTATTACTTACAGAACAACATATAACCATATCAGTAGCACTCTGAACTTCCAGACTGTAAGGTGAATTGGCAGTGATTTTATTCCTCAGACATTTAAATTAATCAGACAAAAACATTTTTATTAGTAAAAAGATTTAGATGCAAGAGAATTCTAATAGCCCAGTTACCTTTAGTTTCCTCAACTGCTAACTTGTCACAGATTTGTTTTTCATAGGTTCCAAGATGATCCAAAGCTTCTTTATAAAGTCCTGCTTCCCGGAGAACTTGATTTTGATACAATAGCAACTCACTATACTCATAGTCTACTTTATCAGGAGATGTCTACAAAGGCAAGAAAAAAAATATACTACTCATATTTTTAATTTCAGCAACACAAATAAGAACCCCCTACCCATAAATTAGCTTCAATCCAACAGGGGATATCTATATTATGTGGAAGCATATACTCTATGTGGGTTGCCAGATCTGATCCCCATCCACACAACATTCCTGCTTCTTCCTGAGTGGTAACTGGTAAAGTAAAAACATCTGACACTATCTTTCATTTTCTGCAGACAAGCATATATATTAACATAGTCTAAAGTTACATCCAACATTCCTAGATCAGGACTAACATTTCATTTGATAGTAAGCTGCCTACAGTACTTGGAATAGATGGTATACAAATGTCTGTAAAAACAAACAAACAAATTTACAGTTTTAATCAACAACTCATTAACTTACACATAAATCTATGTAATACCTGCTGGGTCTTCCTAAATTCCTCCAAAATCTTTGCTGCCATTTCATAGTCTTCTAGCAGATGATAAGCTATAGCATAGCCAATCCATGATGCTCTTTGTGCAGGTCTAAGCTGAAGTAACTGATACCTAGTTTCCTGTATAACAATAATAAATGCCAAATTAATATTCTAGCCTTTCATATTAATTACTGAATTCCACAATATCTAGCAGGAAATCCATGCTGCTGCTGTTATACGTTAACAAGTTGCATCAGATAAAAAAAGAATACCTTCTAACTTTACTAATTATGTTTCAATATTCTTACAACAGAAAGTGAGATAAAATGCTTGGATTTAACTTATTGACAAGAAGGCAGAGAGTCATTTTCATCCCGATTTTGTGATTTAGAAAACAGCTTGTTTTGACTGAGATAAAACCACTGATTATTCAACTGAATTCAGGATCTAAGTCAAAAACAAGAACCAGAATTCAAAAATTTGGAGTTACAAAGAGAAAAGAGAATAAGGTGATGAAGCCTTCTTAAAAAATGGAACATACTTATGCTTTTATTTTTATGACAAAACTACAAGATATTTGAAGGCAAAGTTAAATGTCCATTGCTGTAATAGGATAAGCTTATCTAACTGCTAATCAATATGTACTTATGGTTTCATACATGGGAATCTTTATAGATTTGGAAAGAGGATCTCTTTAAAGCTAGATACCTGTTTTTTGAGTTGGGGACAAAATTAAAGCCCCATTTGCAGATGAAAGATAATTTACTGCACACACACCCTCCACAAATTATTATAGGTAGTCCTCGACATATGATGGCAATTGGAACCAGGATTTCCATCGCTAAGTGATGTGGTCGTAAAATACGACCATATCACTTAGCCATGGCAATCCCTGAAGTCCTGGTTGGTGTAGTTAACTGAATCTCACAGTTGTTAAGTGAGGCAACTTCCTGCCAGCTTCCTACAACCAAGTTAATGGGGAAACTGGCAGGAAGTACAAGTCCCAGGCAGTGTGCAAATAGGCCAGCAGGCAGGTAAGTGGCTGCTGCTGGGTGGAGGAGGGCGTGAGGAGGGGCACAGGGGTCTGGGGGAGGGTTGTGGAGGATGTGAAGGAGGGTCCGGGAAGGTGGGCAAGGGGGTATGGGAGAAGCGCAGGTCAGGGATGGTGAGAGGGTGTGTGTGAGGTGTGGGTGCAAGGAAGGCATGGCAAGGGTCGGGGACAGCATGCAAGGATGCAAAGGGGTGTGCGAGAGGTGCAGTGCAGGTCCGGGAGGGTGTGCAAGAGTCATGGCATGGGTTCAGGAGGGTGCGTGGGGGTGCAAGGGAGGCGTGGCGAGGATCAGGGAGGGTGTGTGAGTGGCCAGCATGAGGGCAGAGAGGCTGGGAAAGGGTGTGCGGGTGGGAGAGACTTACCCCAGCGACTTGCGACCTGCCTTGCTGGCTTCCCCATTGGCTTTCTGGGGAAGCTGGCAGGGAAGGTTGCATATGGCGATCATGTGATTGCGGGGCGCTGCAACTGGTCATAAGTGCAAACCAGATACCAAGCGCTCAGACTGCAATCATGTAACCATGGGGCTGCTAGAATGGCTGGAACTCTGAGGACCATCATAACTACCATTCGTTCAGCGCCATCATAACTTTGAACAGTTGCTGATGAATAGTTGTAGGTTGAAGACTACTTGTACTACAATCAGAGCCCTTGACAAACTCTTCTCTGGGATCAGAACATATCCTCATTTAATGGAGAAGCAGAAGCTAAAAGAGGCATTTCTGTAACAAAGCTCTACTTTTTTGCAGTGTGCTGAATTATGCAGAAAATTTATGACACCTAAACTTCATTCTGGGTGCTGTAACAGGGTCCTGCTTTGCCTCACTGAATCAAGAATTCTATCAACAATTTGCCTCCTGATTATTTAAAAAATATAGAATCGTATTTTGTGAGACAGGCAGCTACATAAATATGATGAATGAATGAATGGAATGAATAAATAAATAAGAAAAGCCATTTGTTATGAAACTTATAAAACATTATTGAGATTTGCTCTTCACTCACCCTGTAACCTTCTAGATCTCTCATTTGAATTTGTAGCAGTGAAAGGTCCCTCAAGATTTGGAGATTGTCCTTATCCCATTTCAGTGCATTTCTATAACATTTGATGGCTTCATCATATTTCTTGTCTGATCTCTGAAGAAGACCATAGACATGCCAACCTGGAAACTCAGTTAAGGATGTAGGTTTTGGAGCAAATGAGAACAGAAGTGACTGAAAACTTTCCAGTAAAAACAAAACAACTACAAAACACATCTCTGTGGAAGAGCAGGCTGCTTAGCAAAATTGCAGGCACTTGCGCTGCCATCTTTCCCTCCCATATGAGCCTTCTCCCCAGTATCAGCACGGCAGAGTTGCTAATAAAGCAACTTTGCTAATAAAACCTTGACACAAGTATGGGCGGAGATGGAGGAGACACATGTTTTAGAGCTCTGCAGCCACCAGCAAACTGAGTACAGCAGCCAAACTTAAGAAGGTATTTTTCCTTCAGAAGGACTAGACGATCCAAAAGAGAAAAAAAGAAGTACAGAGGCCCAACAAGACAAAGCACAATGTAAAAATGGTGCAAGAGCTCTACATGTGGCCATTAACAGAAAAAGAAGAAATTTCAGAGAGAGGGGACACAAAACAGAACAGGCTTAAGAGAGAAATGTTGATGTATATTAGTATAGAGCATAGTATATAGGTAATTGTAATAGGTAATAGTAATTGAATAGTAATAGTATATAGTATATTCAATAATAAAAGTATAAGCATTGTGATAGTAATAGTAATTGAAGAGTAATAGTATACTGTAATAGCAATTATCATAGTAACAATATGGAGATAGCAATAGAATATAGGAAGCACATATCACTTTTACACATTTGTTTTTACGAAATAAAAGATCTCCCCAACTCTTACAGGGAGATAAAAAGAAATCACTTGTCCAGAGTCCAGTGATTTTTGTGTGTCTCTTGAGTCTGGGTCAATCTAATTAGGTTCAGTTTCAAAAAGAACCCATGATAATTGTTAGGTGTGGTGGGATTAGTCAGACTCAAAGGACTCATTAAGTACTGTTCCTGAAAAAAAACAAATCCTTAGCTGCTAAAGGAAGAAAATTTGGCCCTCACAGACTTCACAGGCAATATCCAACATTCTGGATGCAGAAACCAAACCCCTCACTAGAGCCTACACCAAACAAACAGGGATGGAAAAGGAAGAAGGGGCTGCTTCTTCTTTGGACACAGAGGAGGCTACAACTTGGGTAGACAGGTGTCCAGCCTAAGCCTGTAGTTAAAACAAAGAAAAAGGTAGAACAGCCAGAAAAGGGGCTAGGCCCAGATACTTGGGCCAATATCATATCAGAAGTGTTGAGACAACAGCAAGAGGAAAGGCTTTGATTAATTAAAAAAGAGGAGGAAGACTGGCTCTGGACAGAGAGGAAGGATAGGTTAGAATGGGAAAAGAGTGAGAGAGAGGCAAGGAGGGAAGAGTTTAGGGGGCTGACAGAACTTCTTAAAAGGATCCAGTCTCCAGGGTGACACATTCACCTCTAGGGTTTTCTGAACATATAGAGAGGGGAAGCGGTCCCAAAGATATCAAAATCCGTAAATTAACTGAGGAAGAAGATATAGAACCCTATTTTATTATGTTTTAAAGAGTTGCTACCTCTTGTAAATGGCCTGAGAGTGAATGAGTGGCTCAGTTGGCCCCTAGTCTAACAGGAAAAGCTTTAAGAGTTTATAGCAGTCTTCCAGCTAGAAAAGTAATGGATTATTAGTGTGTTAAAGTGGTAATCCTATACAGGTATGATGTAACTCCTTATACCTATAGGCAGTGGTTTAGGAGCTATATGTATGACAAACATGAAGGGGTTCATGAATTGTGGGCAAGCCTGGAAGACCTACGTAGGAAATGATTGAGGTCAGATGAAAGGAGAAAAGAAAAACTGGTAGAAGAAGTAATTTTAGAACAGTTTCTACATGTACTCCCTACCAAAGTGAGATTTTGGGTGCAGGAACACTACCAAAAACAGGCCAAAGGGCAGTAGAATTGGCTGAGGATTACCTTGCAGCAAAAAGAGCAGAGGATGATTGGAAGGGAGATACAGAAGGAGAAAGGAAAATAAGAAACACGGCCACACAGCCCAGAAGACCCACACCAACCATCGTATTCCGGCCGTGAAAGCCTTCGACAATACATTGAAAATAAGAAAGTCTGTTTCAGAAAGCAGGAACCATAAAGAGCAGGAAGGGTTGAAGGAGTAAGGTGTAAAGAAGCCTCTGGCTCCTGCCCATATGAAAGGAAGACAATGGGAAGATAAAGAGATCCACAGTTGTTATAACTGTGGGAAAAGTGGACATTTGTCAAAAGATTGTAAAAACCAGAGGAAAAAGGGTATGACTGAAGTAGTGCAAGCACCTCTGGGGAGAAAAATTATGGTTCCAGCAAAAGTTAATGGGGTGACTGTCAGAGGTCTGGTAGATACTGGGAATAGAAGGACTTTAGTGCATCCTTACTTAGTAAAAAAAAAAAAAAAGCAGTATATATGGAAAAGAGCCTCTCACAAGAGTGTTTGGGCAGACTGAGATGGTTCCATTGGTTAAAGCCAGAAATGAACAGGTAATGGTGGTAGGAGTAATCCCTAAATTACCATGTAATCCCTAGTGATTGGAACAGATTTTCCAATTGCTAAGGGTTGGATTCAAATAAAAGGCTTCAAGAAAAAAGTTAAAATAATGGGAGTAACCACAACAGCCCAGTCTAAGGCAGAGATGAAAAAGGAACAGAAGCAGGAGGGGAAGGAACCTGAGATGCTGATTTAATACGGGAAGTGGGATGTCCTAGAAAGGAGGAAGCCATACAAAAGGCTGATAAAGCTAGAGGTGAACCCATAGGGATAGACATTCCTAAATGGGAAATTGATTTAGGGCCCTTACAAAAGAAGGATCCCACCTTGAAACGCTGTTGGTTAGCAACAGAACAGGAGGGAAACAGGGAAACAACACCCAGATTCCAAGAAAAACCATGGTTGCTATCTTGAATTAGACTCCATTCATATACAAAGGAGCAAATAAAGCAAATAGCATAGCCAGAATATTGCAAGGCTATATTGGAACTAACCCATGAAAATCCATGGTCTGGACATATGGGTAGAGATCATACAACATTTAGAATATTAGACAGGTTTTATTGGCCAGGGATTAGTAAAGATGTGGCCCATTACTGTAGATCCTGTTTGTCAACTAGTGAAACCAAAAGGGGAACAAAATAAAGTTCCATTGGAGAGAGTGCCTTTAATTCCCACTCCCTTTTCTACAATGGCCATGGATATTGTAGGCCCTCTACCCCATCCCATAAAGGCAATGAATACATTTTAGTTGTTATGTGACTATGCAACCTGCTATCCAGAAGCAGTTCCATTAAGGAATGTGACAGCTAAAAGAATAGCAGAGGAACTGGTCAAAATCCTCAGTAGGGTACGTATACCGAAGGAGATCCTCACAGATCAAGGATCTAATTTTCAATCAGCTCTGCTTAAATATCTTTACACTGATTTAGGGATAAAAGGGGTACATACCTGCCCTTATCTGAAAGGATGAATCAGACCCTGAAAGCTATGCTTTGGAAATATGCAGGTCAAGACCCAAAATATTGGGATACCTGGCTGCCATTTCTATTGTTTGCATATAGAAAAATCCCATAGGCATCCATTCTATGGGAGGTAACCTCGAGGGGCTTTGGACATTATTAAGGAAGGCGGGTGTGAAAACGTAGAAGGTCCTAAGAACTTTAGAATATATATTAACCCAGAGAAATAAGTTAAAGGCACTAGGACACCTAGTAATTGCCCAGGAACATTTCCATGGAACAAGAGAGGAAAAGAAGTATAGCAGCCCAGCAAGAGAAAACACAATGTAAAAAAGGTGCAATAACTCTACATGCTGGCTATTAACAGAAAAAGAAGAAGAAATCTGAGAGGGGACTTAAGAACAGGCTTAAGAAAGAAATGTTGATGCATACTAGTAATAGTATAGAGCATAGTATATAGGTAACTGTAACAGAGTAATAGGTAATAGTAACTGAATAGTAATAGTATATGGTATATTGAATACTAATAGTATATGGTATAAACATTGTGATAGTAATAGTAATTGAAGAGTAATAGTATATTGAAACAATAATTATCATAGTAATAGTATAACAATAGAACAGAATATAGGAAGCACTCACATATCACTTTTATAGGTTTGTTTCTACAAAATAAAACATCTCCCCAACCCTTATAGGCAGATATAAAAAAACCACCTGTCCAGGGTCCAGTGCTTTTGTGTCTTTCTTGAATCTGGGTCAATCTAATTGGGTACAGTTTAAAAAAGAACCCATGATGATCTCTGAATTGGAAAAAGTCTTACCCAGTATACATAAATGAGTTAGTATACCACAAAATACTATCAAAACTATCAATCTAATCTCAATATAATTATGAATAAAATCTTATCAGAATATCCTCAATGTGTATTTATTGAAGCTATCATTAAATACAAATAGCTAAGTGGACTAAATTTTTACAGATAGTCCTTGTTGAACAACCACTCATTCAGCGACCATTTGAAGTTATGACAGCACTGAACAAGGGAGACTTACAACTGTTCCTCATAATCCCCATGGTCACGTGATCCCAATTCTGGCACTTGGCAACTGGCTTGTAATTACAATGGTTGTAGCATCCTATGATCACAGGATTGCTAGTTGTGACCTTCACTGCCAGCTTCCGACAAGCAAAGTCAATAGGGAAACTGGCAGGATGTCTCAAATAGTGATCACATGACCACGAGATGCTGTGACTGTGTGGATTTGCCTGCCAATGGCAACTGGAACTGCCACAACTGCTGTCGTAATTTAGCATGGTCATGTGACATCACTTTATGACCATGTTGCTTAGCAATGGAGTTCCTGTTGTTAAGCAAGGACTACCTGTATAAGATTCTGTACTGATCAGAATTCACCTAAATATTGTAATTATAAACACAAAGCTGTGACGTGAAACAGTGCATCAGTGATTAAACATCTTAGTGACTAAAAAGAATTTTCACTGTTAAGCTTGTTCCAAATGAAGCATGTGGTATGATTTGTCAAATATTTCACAAAAACTCTTTAGAATGTACATAAAAAAAATTCAGCATTCTTTAGCATCTACAGAGTTAATATGGGTTGGTATTCCTGCAAATACCATTTCTCTTTTAAGTTTTGTGAGAGCCTAAGTTAGCTGACAAAAGTATATCTACCAAGGAAGTGTTGGACTAAAGGCAGAATGTATAGGTTGAAGAATTTCAGTACTTTTATCTACAAATTCTGAGGTCTGTTCATTTTTAACTATTGGGAAAATCTTCCTAAAAATTAAAATTATATAGCCATAGGCCTCTTAATAGGAAGAGCCAATAAAATACTCAATAGTTATTAAGTTATTAATACCTAATAGCTCTACTTAATCAGCAGATAATTGTCTTTGAGGGAAAAGAAAGAAAGAAACAATTAGTAGACTGTTAGGGATAGATTACCAGGATAAATGGGAGAAAGAACAAAGAGAGGAAAGAGCTGAACTAATGGTCATTATCAGGAGGCTAATGGGAAGCAGTGTGGTTTAGGGACAGGTGAAATCCCACCCCATGAAACTGGGCCAGGACCCTGAAGAGACAGCAGTTGTAAAGCAAGAAGGAAATGTCTATAACCAACAACAGTATTTTGGGAGAGAGATAAAATTATGATTCCTACATGAATCAAGATTTTATGTGTGAGTAAAAGAAGGTGCAGAGAAGAGATCAGAAGGAAGCATTCTAGCCCTAGGGTAAATGTTTGGTGTCACCTTGTATTTTAAACAGGAATTGTTACAGCTCCTACCAGCTCCTTCTCCAATTCCATTTAGAATATTTCTATATTTAGAACATATATAGCTGCTCAGAGTCACTGGGAGTTGGGTGGCATACAAGTTTAATAAATTATCATCATCATCATAAGCAAGCATTCACCAACTTATGAACTTACTTTGTAACACATCTTTTTGTACCCTTTAAACTGTGTCTGTGCATCCTAACTCCATATCCAGCAACATACAATCCAAGAGTAGAAAGATTGAGGTTTTTTTTCTGAAGGAAAAGACAGTGGCAAGACAAGATAAAAAGAAGTAATTGCCAGAACAAGATAGGACTAGGAATGTGATCTCTTCATTTGCTTGCTTTCCTATTTTCAATAATGTGGTTATCAGCTGCAGTGTGATCTAGCAGCACTTCTCCACCCTAACAATCACTTTCGCTTTTCTACAAAAGTACAGGTATTTTAATTCTTCACTGTAAAAAGAAGAGTTAAGTAGCACTTTACATGCTACAGTATAGTCATATTTACATGTTTTCTTTTGCAAATTTAATCTATAACTTGAAAAGGATACAGACATGACTCTTCAAATCATTTCTTAGCCCCCTACGAACCAGTTCATACGCCTCATCTTTTTTACCTAAGCAATTTAATGTCAGTCCTTTCATAGCCAAGGTTTCTAAGACAAAAACATAAATATAAATAATGATAAATACACTTTATATATGCATTCTACTTAGAAATCACTACCAGCAGATTCTAAATTTCAAAGTATCTATTAAGCATCTATTAAATGTGGAAGTGGGAAATATGATGTTTGTTTCCCTAGCTGTAAAGCAAAAACTTG